TATATTATTTTAATTAAAAGAAAGATCCATTATACCTTTTAAAAACAAGTAACTTTCAGTGAAGTAGTCTCCTGGGTAAAACAGTGCCAGCATTCTAGTGCACACATGGTGATTAAAATTAATGGTCATGATTAAGATATGCAGAGGCCAGCATGTTTATCCCCTGAGCCAAAAGTCATTCCATTGCTTTTTATAGAAACCCAGAGCAACCGTAATAGAAAGAAAATATCTCTTTGGTTCTATTTGAGGCTGCGTGTGTCAGTGAAAGATTACCCAGGAATGTTTCCCCCTAAAACCAGCCCTTCATTTAAAAAAAAAAAAAACTAAATAGCAGAAACCTAATGCCTATAAATAGCTTTTCTATGAAGACATTTGCAGATAATGTGTAATGGAATCTGTGTTTTAGTGTCAAATCTTTCCTGAATGCTTCACGTTAAGGATCCGCCTCCAGCCTAGTGAACTGAATGCATCAGGCAGCCAAACCTTTACTCAAACACCTCTTCAACATGAGGCCTAAATAAGGTAGAAATGTAATGGGAGGAGAAAGTAAGATGTATTACTGTAATAGGGTGCAGGCAGTATAAGGGCTAAATGTTGAGAGGGATGATATGGCCTGATAATACACATTGAGTGATGGTTTCACAATTCAAACATACATTTTTTGGACTTTCTCCACTGAAACTAGAAAGACCAACATCATTCAAACGTGTATATATTGATTTATTCATCTACCAGACCTCCCATGTAATGCCAGCTCTACAAGAATAACAGAACCCATGCATTTGTCTGTGTCATACTCTAGATGGACCAGTGCATTGTTTGTGTGACAGTGCACAACTCATTAGGGCTTTTTCACAGCACACATTTTAACATAAAAAGTACATGTGTCACTAATAACATTAACGATTTAATTGTCCCAGTAAGCCATGAAAGTGCGCCATCATGCACAATATCAGGACACTGGAACTGGCAAAACTAGATAGAGTGAAGCCATTATTAATGTCACTAATTACGCCTGTGTTGTTGTTTTTTTTCTGTTCCGAGATTCAGACACATAATTACTACAATTAATTGTGCCTGTTTGTGTGCAGACCCACAGAGCTTAATTTGAAATTCTATTACATATGAATTTTCCAAATGTGAAACATAGTTTGCGGTGGTACAGCCATAAATGACGTGTTGTGGTCTGAATGTACTCAATATACAGTGAGGGAGATGCTACTCAGAGGCAGATAATTTATATATATATATATATATATATATACACCAACAGATTATCCTTCATACCATTAGCTAGTGAAAGACACAACCTTTGATACATACATAAGCCATAATGTGTCACTTTACTTTGCACTGTGCAGCTGTTATCTTTCTTCCATTAATACATTGATATTTATGATACTTTTTGAGGTTATTATTTTCTCTCTTCTTTGGCCATGTGTATGATTTTATGCGTTGTGATGGTGTTTAATGGTTGGCTGTGCGCCAGTGAAATTTAATATATGTGGTCCAGTGTATAGAAATATAAATCTAACTTTATAGGCACTTAAGGTTAGAGAATATTTAAGGTTAGGAGGTTAATATATCACTTTATCCCGCGCTATGTACTTCATTTCGAGAGCAGCTGTGTTATTGATTATGCTGCAGTACCAGATTGTGTCAGCTACAGAAATGATAGGCAAGATGTGAAGGTCAGGTTGTGTAAAGATTATCAGTGTGATAGTTTTTGTACTGTAAGCGATGATTATGATGACTCATAAATATACATTGAACTAGAACTGGCACTTAAAGCAGTGCTGATTAGGTCAACATTTACCAGCCTTGATGCTTGGCAGCTTGAAAAAAAGACCTTTCTTACCACATTATGTTTGAGGTATGCTTGTAACTCATTTTTTTAACCTTCCAGTATATGTTATTGTTATATGAAAATATGTTTGGCTGTAAAAAAGCGTAAACTAGCATAAAACTGTGCAGGCAGGCAGACTCAGCAGAATGTGTCACCAGGTTAAGTAGATCGGCTTTCTCAAACGCTGAACTATGAATGTACTGTAAGGCTAAGTAGTGTGAAAACGCCGCCTACGCTTAAGGTGCTCATGCATTTCCACCCTTAATATTAAACAGCTTTACTGCTGCACAAAAGCATTATGTGTGATTTTCTCACAGATTTTGCAACAGTATTTTTTCTGCACTGGGATCATTGTGGCTGTGTTGTGGTCTGACTTTTTCCACATTAAATTTGTCCACCAAAATTCTGTGCATGCCTGTACCTAAAAGGGAGTAACACCAGTGTTGCCTTATCAGACTGTGAGCAGGTGTGTAGTTATGCAAGGTCAACGTGAATTAGAGGAATTCTTCAGTGTGTGTGTGTGTGTGTGTGTGTGTGTGTGTTCTGAAATGTTTGCATGTCTGTCTGCTAGACTCTGTGTCTGCATTTGAGTGTTGTTTCTGGTTGTCTGTGTCTGTCTTTGGAATATATCATTGACATTTTGGGATTCGTTTGTGGATCATTTCAGCTAAGCCTGTTTGGTCAAACAGTCAGTATAATGAGGGAGGTCCTGTATGTGTGTGTGTGAGCAGTGTTTAAGACAAGCAGACGGTGTAATCTGGTTTCTGGGAATGGGGTTGGCGAACAGCCACAGACAGACTTAGAGGCATTCTGAACAATCAGCTGTCAGAAATAGTTTTGCCAGTTCAGTCAATTTCGCTTCATTTTGATGTGTAAGGAACAGAGTTGTCCAGACAGCCAAAGCAAAGTAAGATGATGTATGAATGCAAATGACACTGTAGAAGGGCTGCACGATATGGCAAAAAACCCCCCAGATATATTAGGATATGATTCACGATTAGTGGGAATGATCATTTTTGCATCACAAATTAAATTTTCACTGAAAAAAACACAACAATTATGATGATGTGACATTTGTTGGGGTTTGTACCAAACCAACATGTTTTCTAACATCTGGAAAACAAGATTCTGCGGCACTACAGTACTTTGTTATAATGCTGTTTTGGCACACATTTTAGCTCAATCAAAAAGTTGCTGCTTCTGTGATTTGGATATTGCACTTGGAAAAATTGTGATTTCCATAACTTTTTCAATTAATTGGATTTGAATTCATTAGGGCTGTGTATTGGCAAGAGTCTGGCAATACAATACATGTCATTATTTTATTTTAGGAAAACTGTCATAGTATAAAAATCACACGTCTATAGTTTAGTAGGGGTGGATATTGTTTGGCATTGTTGATGCTATTTAAAATACCATAGCTGAGTTTTAGTGCTGATATCAAAATTATATGATGATTTTTATACTTACTTTGAGAAATATAAAGTTTTTAAATCTTCAGTTGTAAAATACACTAACGTAATGTCGTTTTCAGTTACATTGTGGTTGAGAACAAGAAGATATTGAGATTCTCTGTAGTACAATACAATAAAAACCGTTCTATAGTAGAAAATCATTCTGAAAGCACAATAGTTTTTCTTCGGGTTTCCTTGAAACAGCCTTAATGTTAGAAAAAACAGCCATGTGTAATTAGTTTGAGAAATCTTAATTAAATCTAGTAGTGTGCGTGAACCCTTTGAGACCACATTAACGACCCTGTCCCTGCTGTTTGAGCAGAGCTGCTCTACATGAGTTAATTTACTTACTCTCAGCCCCTTACTACTATCCCCCAAGCACATTACTTCCTGGCAGTGCTGTTGTACACACACTCTCGCACATTCTTTGTTAAATATTATGTGTGTATTCTATTGTTGACAGTAGTTTTAGTATTAAACCCTCACCCAGCCCTTCATACTGTCACACTACTTCAACCTGCTCCCCCAGCTGCTAGACTAAGCAGGATTACTCAAGGCTTTCACACATGCTCTTTCTCTCTCACACACACACACACACACACACACACACACACGCTTGAGACCAGTATCCACAGCATATGCACAGACACACACACCCTCGCCGTATCATCCAGTCTCTCTGTGTCTAATTGATGTGTGGATTATGCTGTCTCCTTTCACTCCACGCAGCTGTTTCATGGCTTCAGTTCATCCGAGCTCCACGACACTGGAGACTAAACTCTACATTTACGGTTTGCTCTCTTTTTGGCACTTATTAAACAGACAATGTGTAATTTCTCCTGCCAAGGGGTCTCTCACATCAAAACAATAATAAAAGACGGAGTTTGATGACGTAGTGAGGTAGTGTGGGATCATGGGAGTTGTTGTCTTCACGACCGTTGCCGGCACTGCAGTCAGCTTCTCCTGGTTAGCATTCGTTCAGTGTTCATCGTTCAGGAGGTTTCTACTGGGAGCAGAATTACCCGCTGAGGTTTTCTCCTCTCCAAAACAAACTGGATCTGGTGATTAAAACCAAAAACAGAATAAGGCAGTTTCACCTTATAAGTCAGTGTTTCTCCGGTGCTGTTAGGCGGATAAAGGACACGTCGGAGGGTCTGCCAGTAGAGCTGCTGCTAACGTTTGCTCAGCTTGTTTCTCTGATAAGGTCCAGACTAGGAATGTAAAGATATATCGCGAGACATTTAAATTGCAATACAAAACTTGAGGATTCAGGTCGGTTGGATGAAACACAAATGGTAGTATCAATCTTGGTATCAAGACTTCAGTTTCTCTTTTACAAAGAAAAGGAAACATGCATTGGTTTGCAGTCTTTATTTAGCTAGAGTGTGTAAATACTGGAGTAATGGAGTCCTTCTTATCAGGAGTTATGAAATGTGTCTGCTGTGTTGGAGCAGCACTGTGAAGAAAGTCACATGCTGATCATCTGAAAACATTTCTAAATAATGCATTGTGCACTGTCTGGGTGGTTGAAAACATTAAACCATAATATTTCCCCTCCTTCTCAGTACATGAGGATGTGGCCATTAGAGAAAAATGTTTTCACGTTAAGTTCAAACAATACAATTCAATACAATACAATACAATCAATACAAAATCATTATTATTATATAGTAACACAATAATGCTGCAGTCCTTCAATTATAGAAGGTTTCTTTTTAACTGAAGCACAGCCTGAAGTATATCCACTTGGCTCTGTTTGATTTGGCCTCATCTGACTTGGTTTGGCATGGAATGGTTTGTTCTGGCTGGGCGTAGTGAAAGGGTATTAGTTCTGGGACTGACAGCAAAAACCTCTGGGACGGCCCAATATTAATCTGGGAGAGGAGGTGGAGGAAGGGTGTGTGTCTCTCTCTGTGTGTGTGTGTGTGTGTGTGTGTGTGTGTGTTGTCAGCAGGAGATAGTACAGCACTCCAAGGGGAAAACTACAGCCCTGTTCACACTTACTCTAGTATTTAATCTCTAGATATTCAGATTATATCGACATCCACTTGAGAAACTGCAGTAAGTCTCAACATTGATATAAAAATACAACCAATACAGAGAAGGGAACGTAAGGATCACAGCATTTATCAGTTTGATTTAATCATGATTATCAGGAGGATTAGCGACCCACCACCCAATCACACACATGTGAAGCCATGGCTTAGGTTTAGAGCTGATGCGATCAGTCGATTAATCAGTCAGTCAATCGACAGGAAATGAATTAGCAACAGTTTTAATAATTGATAGTCTGAATCCATTTTTAAATCCAATGTTTACATGTCACATTCACACACTGATGGCAGAGGCTATGCAAGGTGGATTAACATAATCCACTCACAGCAGTGGGACTTGAGCAATTTCAATTAGTGGACTACCTACTTATAGTAGCTTATGTAGCATGTATGGCCAGTCCACTTCTGCTGCTACTTTAGTTGCCACAGTTAGTTAGCTGGTGATTGCACTAGCACTGTGCTCCTTATCCTAAAGCTTCACCCTTGAGTTTGACCAGAAGCACTTCTAAAAACAGTACGGACTTTAACTAGTTAATTCAAGGAAGGGAAGAGGAAAATGGCTTAGAGCCTGTTTAAACATGGATCCAATTAAAACAGGAAGTGCCCATGGGATCTCTTTAACCCTTATCGCTTGTGTGCATGAACTACAGATAAACAGCCAGGAAACCTGCTCATCAGCAAGAACATGAAGCACTGGGCCTAAAAGCAGGCGGCTGTGATCCTTGTGTCTGTGCGTGTGATTGCATGCCCTTTATGTGTGGGCGTGGTTTGTGCTTAGGCTTGTTTGTTGTCTGGTGGGTGTGAAGACATTGGTGATGATGACGCGGGTGCTTGTCTGCCACCTTGTGCGTCATGTTTGTGTATTTGTGTTTATGGAATTTTTTTATTGATGGTGTATTTAGCAGTGTGAGTTTAAAGTTGTTTAGAAAACTGTGGCTGTACATCCAGTGTAGCATAACTCACCATGTGTTGACACGGTTCAGGACTACATGTAGATTATGTAAAGCTGTGAGGCACCAGAGAAATACTGCAGAGGAACGCAGATAAGTTGGATGAGAGGAGTTGGATGAAAGGTTGTAAAGTGAGAGAAGAAGAGACAAAGAATATAATAATGAGGAACAAAAACCGGATAAAGGAGGCAAGGTTGGGGATGATGGGAAAGAAAGTGAGCAGGCCGAGGAAACCCTATTTTGGCGAGAAAGGCAGTGAGGTTCCCCGCCCCCCGGTTTGTTTTAGACGGGTTGTTTAGTTTGGCCTGCGCTGAACAACTGGAACAATATTCATGCTAGGAGATGGATGGAGGGAGGGTTAGACTCAGTTCACCTGAAAAAACTTTCCTTCATGAGAGACTTTTGGCATTGCTCTCCTTGATTTGCACTGTACTTCTAAAACCTGGTGTGGCCCACAAACATTTTTGAGGTGTGTTTTTAGTTCCGTCTTTAAAGCGATGAAAGTGACAGACGGTTTTATGGATACAGCTTTAATGTAGAGCAGCCAGACAAACACGGTTTCCTGTTTCAGATTTGTTGCCCAAAATGTTGTCCTCGGAGTTCAACAGAATGATCTGACTGTGTAACTGTATATTTCTTATTTGACCCTACTTTGACTCTTTGCACGCTGACTGATATCTGTGTGCATCTGTGTTAGTGTGTGTGTGTGTGTGTGTGCATGAACCCTATCCTGACTGAAATTAAGGATATATTTTTGCCCTACTCTACTGACTTTATGAGCAGCCCTTGAGCGTAATGAGGCTGGTTGCTTTCCAAGTCCAACAGTGTTTATTTATAGGGCAGGAAAGGCTATTTGTGTCAGGAGGAAGTGTTGCACAAGGGCTATTTTTTACTGAAGGTCTTCTTGCACCCATAAATGTCCTACGCCAGACTTCTGCATCAATCCTTCAACTTTAAAAGAAGTACAATAAGTGAAAAGAACTGTGTAGTAAATTGTATGTATATGTGGTAGGCTCATTGTTTTTCGCCCCTTTTAACAAGATGGCTGCCTATAAAGCAGTAAGCAAAACACACTTTAATATACTGTAGAAATTACATTTTAACTAGCTGTAATTTTACACATTTAACCATAATGTGAGCACAATGGGTTTGAGGAGTCACGGTGACCTCATAGTGTTCCTTATGAGAGGAACACTAGAAAAGCAGTAAAATAAGAGGTAATTAGAGAGGTCAGGGGGACATGTCAGCTAATGTGGGTTTTTAAGGTTCGATACTGAAGTGAAGAGAGGGCAAAGGGGGTGCTGATGGATGATGTGATGACAGTTTAGTTTTTTTTGTTTCCTCTCTGTCTTCAGTCAACAGTGGAAAGGCTGAGAGATAGAGGGAGAGAGCGAGACTATTTAAACAATAATGAGATCATATATCTATAAAAAGTTTCACCACCTTTAGGACAAAACTATTTTCAAATCCTGTAAGTGTGAAGGATGAACACAGTGCTTATTTGGCCCGCAGTACTTCCAGAGAGAGGCATGTCTCCAGCACACTGCATTTAGCATTCCAAGAAAAATCCTAATGTTGAATGACTCTCAGTATTAAAAAAAACAAATGGAGGAAAGCTAAAAATAACTGGAATAAAGCCGTAGAGGCTCTATGCAACGCACCTTACACAATCATGTGTTCCTTTTTTGCACATTATTTGCAAACATGTTTCTCTTACGAATTAACGACAGACCTATGATCTCAGATAAATTGACGTGGTAATTCCTCGATTCCTTTGAATGTGATTAATCATCAGTGTTTCACTGGCACAGATATTCTCCATGGCAGTGTCGGATATTGGCAAAGTGGGTGTAAAGAAGCACCCTTGGCAGACATTGGGTGTTAATAGAGGTGCAATTCCACTTGGCTCTCATTGGTGTCTGAAAGGTACCAATTTTACACAAAGTCTGTTTACAGGTCTTGGAGAGTACTACTGCATACGTGAATAAAGTTGTATAAAGCCTCACAGTTTGCCTCAAGGGGCTTTACGATCTGTACAACATGCTAACTCAAAATACTCTTTTACCTACACCAGTGCCTGACGTTCACACATGGACAATGTATTGACTGTACCAACCACATTTACTGGGGAGATGGTAAAATTGCAGCTAATCTAGAACGAGGTTGCCTAATGAGATTCTTCTGATGTAAGTTGACTTCATTATCTAAACCTGTGGTCCAGATTGGGCAGTATTGTGAAATACATGGCAACATCTTTCATTATGAGAGCAGCCATCTGGTCTTTGTTTAACAGTTCTGTCTACTAACTCTCTTACTCTGGGTTTGAGTTTCAGAGTCTAGTAAACTATTGTGGTGTGCTTGCGTGTGTGTGTGTGTGTGTGTGTTCTCGTGTTGATGTGTGTGTGTGTAGTACAGAGGGCAGTAAGCGGTTTCAGCTGTGGCCCGAGAGAAAGGATGTATTGTTTGAGGACATTGGAGCATCTGCTTTGTTGCAGATAAGGGTTTGAAGTTAACAGTCACTACTGATCAAAGGGCAGAGAAATTGTCTGTGTGTCAATCCGTCTCTCCTTCACTGTTTCTTTTCCCTTTTGCTCTGTACACTGTTCGCTCTTCCATCCTCTCCTTTACTTCCTGCCTATACTGCCCTCCTCTGTCTCTCAACCACTCTCTCAAACAAAGAATATTCCTGTAAGCTGTATAGAGGTTATTCCCCTCTGGAGTCTGTTGTTGTTGTTTGTGTGTCTTCCCTTCCATCTAACCTACTTTCGTGCTGCATTTATTTAGCTTTATCTTTCATCTCTGCATGAAATCCCATAGACAGTGTACTTCTTATTGACACGAGAAGCAAACCTGGTTCAGTTGGTTTAGTGTGTGAACTGGAACAGTGCATAGCGTTGTGTGTTCATGTTGAGTTTAGTCATCTCTCCGAGAACCTGTGAGTAAGAAAATACTTTCTCTGTAGTTTCTACCTAATAATATTATGCTGCATTGGTTGGTTTTTCCCTTTCTACTTGACATGACCTGACTTGGCTTGTTTTATTTCCTTTTCCATGTTTTAGCCTTCTAGTAAGTGAGTGGACTCCTCATTTCTTTCCCTTGTGTTCTTTATGTCTAAAGATTTTGCGTTTCTTGCCCAGCTAACTGCAAGGCCTGTAGTTGATTGATCTGTCTGTTCAACACTTCAGTCAAAGCAACATGTCCTGACAATTACTTTCCAGATCACCATTCAATTTGTTAAGGATACTTTTCATCCCCAGAGTATTATTGCCATTGAGTCTGCTGCCACTGCCAGGTCATATTTCCCTTAAACAACACTTTAATCTATCACAAGGCATCTGGAGAAGTCATTCCTGGATTTCTATGGTATTCTTGTGGATATGCATAGTCCTGGTTTTGCTTTTGACTTTTTTTCCCCTAATCTTTAGATTTCCTGGGAAAGGATTTATTAACATGCGTGTCACTAGGGTTCACAAAGAGCTCAGTTATATGTTCATTGACAAACAAATGAGCCAAAAGGCCTTCTGGGCTCTTTGCTTATCAGGTCAAGCTTAGGTTAGTTTTAAATTAGTTGTATAAGCTTTTACCACATTTTATATGGAGTTTAAGTAGCTGCATTAAAGCAAACAGGACTCCCCAGAAAATCAAAGAAGAACAAACACCTTTTCATCCATCAACAAAAATGTATATTTTGAGGGAAATACTAAAGGGTTTGTAAAGTAAATGTTTTTCTGTTAAACTCCACTTGCTCTTAGTGACTGAACTCTATAAACATACAGAATGTGATGTAGGAATTACTGTTTCCCAATCTCAGTTTGTTTTTCCTTCAGAGAACTGAGGAAGTTCAGAGAAGTAGAAAAAACCCTCTGGGCAGACATGTTTATGCAAAAACCATTAGGTTAACAAACAGGCACATATACACACTTGTTGTGCATCTGATTTGTTTGCACATTATTCTGAAACTGTAGTAACGACTGTATATTGTGAAGTTGTGTTTCCACAAATTGTTTTAAGGACTTAGAATAGAAATAAATGAACACCTGTGAGACATATGAGGAGAGGAGGGAGGTAGGATTCACTCATTAAAATATAACTGTAAAGAAACACGCATTGCATAGTAAAATGAATCTGATTCCCTTAGCCCTTTACCTCTGTTGCTCCTTGTTCTCTTGCCCCTTGTCCTTGCAGCCAGCCTGCAGCCTGGACAAACAGGAAACACTTAGTGTTATCAGCCGACTCTTTGTGTGTCTTAATGAGTGTCAGGCTAAAGACAGAGAGGGAATCAACACTACAGTCCACACCCTGATCCCAATGTAAACACACTTATGGCAGCACAAAAACCTGAAAGAGAGGCAGGACTAACACAGAGCTGGAGAAGACGGGCAGTCTAGGAAACCGAAAGCAAGAGAGGAAGTGAGATCCTTTTCACTTCCTAGTGATACATGCAGAACAACAATGCTTACTGGTTTTATAATATCAGGATTAGTGACCCATGACTTAACCAAACCAATGTGGGTTAAACCCATGCTGTCCAGTGCAAACCAATGTAAGCTAAGCCTACAGTATTTAATACAAGCAGATATTGTTGTTTAGTCTTCATGTGTTGTGCACCGGTTTTGCTGTGTTTGATAAACTTAAACTTAAACTTGTTTTCATTAAAGGTGGAAATTGATTAATAGATTTGCAAAATATTTGTTGATTTATTTTCTGTTGACTAATAACTTTTTTCAGCGTGTTTTATTTTTTTTTTTAAATTAATTAAATTAACTCTCTCTATCAGCTTCTTGTCCCCACACCTTTTCCCCCTCACAATAAACCCTTTCCCATCGGAACCACATATTTAGTTTCCTACCATCTTGCAGTTACTTATGTAGCCTACCTTTCTACTATATACAGCTATTTTACACTGCAGGAATATCTTTAAACCACCATTTAATTTAATCTCTTGTTATAGAGTGCTCATATGCCTAGGAGGGAGAAACATAAATTGTCATTTAATTTAGGGATATTTTCCCTATTGATGCACTGCCAGTGTATGGTACAGTGTTCAGAAGTTTTTTTTGGTTAGAACATTTTTTTGTTGAATCACTTTTTGTTGGAGCAGAGGTCCGTGCTGATTTTGCACCATCTCTGCCAGAACATGATTATTTCATCAGCCTCCCTGCGATGACACTATTTGTGTATGTGACCGAAACTGGAGCAGTGCATTCCGCTCCACTTAAACCTGTCCATTACAATGTAGTCTAATGCTATCGGTGTCATGCTGCTCTATCGTGACGGCCCTTCATTTTTTTGTGTAGCCTATTAAAATCACAGAGGCCATTAGGCAGGAGCATGCAATACAGTACATCAGTGTTTCCCCTGTCATTTTTTATATTACTGCTGGTAGGGGGTATTTGTGTTGGTAGGAGTTCTAAGTCCATGCCAGTTTTTCTCCCACATGCTGTTCTTGTTAATGAGACCACGATAGGAGCATTCACTGCAAATGTCAACTGTAAACTTGTCATTTTTTGGATGGATGTTTCTTTTACAGTTAAAGAATCAAAGAGTGACCCCCAACCTATTTACTGTGACCAGAAAAGTCACACATAATTACGTTATGGATATTTGTAAAGCTGCAACGAGCCAATTAGTCGAAAAAGTGGGGTTGGATTTTGTACTGTTAGTTAGATAGTAAAGATTAATGGGGAGAAATAATCTCTAAATTAATTGCCAGTGAAAATAATGGTTGTTTGCAGCCTCAGATGTACATTTCTGCTTTTGTGCCATGCTGCAGTTGAGAGTGACCAGTGTGATGCTTCAGTGTACACAGAGGAAGTCCTGCTCAATATGAAACTAACTTATCATGAATTATAGAATCATTTGTTAGAGAATGGCAGTGTTGACTCTTCTCTGTAGACATAGTAGAGGTTCAGATAAGGTAAAAGCTTTTGAAGAGTTGAGTACTGTTAGAGAGAAATTTTGCCCTCAAGGCAATTGTTAGAAGAAAGTGTAGCGGGCCTTCCTTCCCCAGTCTTTGCCCTAAATGTTCTGCAGTTTCATGATTCAAAGCAACTGACAACCAACTATAGCATGAATAAATCTTTACTGAGAGCTGGTTTTCACTCGTACTGATAGTACAACCTATCTATGAACTAAGAAAAGGTACAGTACCCAGATCACTGGACCTTAGTTTTAAATCGCTGCACTAGCTCATACCTTGTTTCTGGTTTTCTGTCTCCATAATGGCACTCTAACTTTCTAATTGCCGGGTTACTCCTCTTACTGTCCTCTTAGGTTGGACAGGTTTGTATGGGTGTTTTTGGTAGTACTTTCATTGCATGGTGCATTTAAAAGCATTTTCCCAGCACACTTCTGTAGCTTAAATAAAATTCCCATCCAGGTACTATACCAGTTTTTTGTGGTTTCAGTATCATTTGTGAGATGCTCGTCTGATTGAGCAACTCTGAAAATCCTTTCATACCCGGAATTAAATATTTGCTGCTTGAGTGGAAGCCAGGAACCAAGATATAATTACTGTCCTCTTGCAGACTAGTGAGTGGAAAACGTCTCTGAAACATTGCATAGTTAGCAGTTATTTGAGACATTAGAAAATATATACATTCATAGTAGTCTTTCAACCTGGACTAGGCAAGGGTGCAGAATTAAATTATCTAGAAAAGTCTGGTTTGATCAGATGGGTCCCAGGGAAGCTGGAACCAACCCCAACATGAATTGGGGGGGAAAAAAGTTGATTTATTTATGATACTTTGTGAGATCTGATAAGTTACAAAAGTTTTCAGATGCACAACGTACAAGTTAGGTTTAAATTCAAGGAACATTAAGGGACTCCTCACCTTCTGCAAGATGTGACTGCTCCTGTTATTCAATCTGTCATGTACGGGAGTGAGTTTGTTTTGCCGCTGTTTCCGGATCATAAAGCCACTCAATTACAGCAGCAAGTTCCACCCTTCCTGATGTCCGCAAAACATGATAAGAAGAGTACTGGATACAGTGTTGAATTATATAAACAAACCACTGGCCAAGTTCCTTTTGCATTCTCTTTGAAGATTTTGGCAACAGAAACAATATGTAGNNCATTTTTCTTTCCATTTTCTTCAGTTAAGCCTCTGTTTTGTACAGCATATTCATCTTTTTCCGTTCCTCTATCATCTTGAGTGTACCTATTTTTAGTATTTGCCTCAGTGCCCTGCACACTGACTGAGCAACACATGACTGGCTGTATGAAAATCATGAGACTTTATACCAGCATACTGGGAGGCTAATCCAGGCCACCTCTGTGAAAACAAGGACTCCTAACCACTACACCATATGGGACATCTCCTTTATAGCTTCTGCTATCTCATGCTGTGTCATGTTTCACTGCACACCAATCATAGTGTCAGACAGATGCAAATGAAGTCAGAGTGACTTCTCTGTTCCACTTTCCTTTACTTACCAACTTCAACAGAACCTTTGTGAATGTTTTTCTCCAAACCCCAGGAAATTGTTGGGCAGAGGTGGAAAGCCACATATTCTTGTCTAATGATCAACTTTGTTAGTAGATGACAGTTGAAACATTTTCTGCATGCACAGTTTTGTATAGTATAGTGGAGTCTTTAGTGCAGTACACTGCAACTTAAATGTGCCCTGTGGTGTTTTCTTTTAGTGCTCCTCACCAAAATGCATTGTTTGTATATTCTTGAGGCCTAACAAATGTGTTAAATGTATATTCGTCCACATAAAACATTTGCACAAGCAAATTTTTTGAATATTTTAAATTGTGCAATGTTTACATCCATGTTTGCTAGCTTGCGGTGTTCTTCTTACTTACCTTTGTTGGTGCATTGCTACGCTTAGTTGCACATTACCACAACCAACTGCCGGTCAGTGGAGTAGCGTGAAGCCAGTGGAAGTGAATGTGTATCAGGTTGCCTGCATGCTTGGGTACATGTGTGTATTTATGTATATGTGTGCATCCTTGTGCATGTATATGATACAAACAAAACTGGGACTCACTAGTTAACACATTGCTCAACACAGCAGAAGTTTCTGGGGGATACTGAGGAACATGCTATTTAGTAAAGGTCTAATGCTGGCTGTATTGCTAACATTCCCAATAATATAGGAATTGTGCAACCACAATGTTAAAACGCAAATGAACTCCCATTGTTAGCTGATTTTCCAACAGCACTGACAAGTGGTTTAAATCTCATCTCCCAGTGTTTTCATCAGTTTTCTATAATGAATTCTTCTCTCTACCACTGTACATGTGTAGTAAAGGAAGGTTTTCCCTGATCCTGCATTTATTTTGTAGCAACTCTAAACTGGTCTTGGATATTCTTGGAAATACTTGTGTGTGTCCATCACTGCTCATCATAGACTTGGTAGGACACCTGATAGATCCATATATCTTTTTCACACGTCAGTGCTCAGCTGAGTGTCTGTATATCCAATCTGTTATTTCTAGTCTGTCTGAGAACTTTCTCATCTTATACCGCCTCCTAAATAGTACCTTACCTATTGCTTCAGTTCTTCGAAACCTGGATGCCAAAAGGTGTGTGTGTGTGAGGGTGTGGGTGTTTTTTTTATAATTTACCAGAGCTCCTTGCCTGAACACCAAAATGTTTCTCCACTGTCAGTCATCTTAGGCTTTCAGTTTTTAAAACACCAACAATTTAGTATTTTTTATTTCCTCACTGGTCCACATTAATGACTACGTGGCTCAGGCTGCAGAGCTCAGTGGTCATACTAGCTGTTCCAGTGACAGAAGGGATTTTTATAGCCTTGCATTTTTCCACCAGCTGTGCAAAATGTATTGCAGTGATTGCATGTATCACCATGGTGGCTTGTTGCACTCTTAAAATAGGGTACAGTTTGCCACCACAAGTATTTATGGAGTCACAGAGTTCATACCCTTTTCACGTGTAGGTCAGTAGGCCATCAGGTCAAATCTAATACTGTGCTGCATACTAATCCGTACAGGAGAGCTGACTGATGAACTTGTGCTTCCAACATGTTGGGGGTGCACAGGTTCAGTTCTCCCCTTACTCTATTATCATGTTTTTCTTTCTTTCTTTAAACACATTTTCTAATCTGTCTCTAAATGAGCAGTTATACTGTACGTTTATGACCAGACTGCTACTTCTATCCCAGTTTGACTCCTCATTTTGGTTTATTACACAGTTTTGTTTCTGGGCAGAGGTAAACTCTGTAGTGTACAGCACTTAAAACTTATTGTGCTGCATTTTCAGACTGCAGTGTAGGAACACTGTCTCTGTATGAGATCATGCTTGAATCTTTCCAATAACCGAACAGCCTGTCAGTGATACAAATGTGGGGGCCATTTGGTTTGTGTATGTGTGAGTCAGTGCGCATAACCACATTGGATGTTGCTTGTGTACTTGCTTGTGTGTGTGTGTGTGTGCGCGTGTTCCCACATATGGACACAAATATTTTGTGTGGGCTACAGCAGAGCCAAAAAAACATTCTCTCCCTTTGAGAAACATTACTCACATTAAGGGCATCTCAGTCGTTTTGGCTGCAGAGTAAGGTTTGTTAATATGGGTGTCAATGTCTGATAAAGTACGTCATTGTGAGGAATGTATACATTATTAGAGATAAGATACTTTATTAGAATTAAAACCATGGATGCATCTTCCACCTCCTGGTTTCCTATTCCCCATTGATTATATTTGATATCAGCTTTTTGTCTTACCTAATTGCTCTTGTTTTGCTCTCTTTTTCCTTTATTCTCCCTCTTTCTCTGTCTTTCTCTCCTTTTTTTCCAAATCATCCTCTATAGGTCAATGAGTGGAACAAAAACGACGAGCGCCTGCTTGCTGCAGTGGAGCATGGCGAGGTGGAGAAGGTGGCATCGCTTCTGGCCAAGAAAGGTGCCAGCGCTGTAAAGCTGGACAGCGAGGGAAAGTCGGCGTAAGCATTCGTACTGTTATCTACAAAAGAATTCAAACAAAAATAGCTTTTGTACAGATTTACCAGTCAAATTACCTTTTGGCACATGTTTGTGCTGTACATTAATTTATGCATTTCTGTAATCAGTGTATGAATCCTAGTTGACCCCAATTTCCTCATGGGAACAGTAAAGTACATCAGAATCATAACTACTACCGTAAAAAGTTACTCCAGCACAATATTTAATCGACAGAGACAATAGCCTGTAGTGGCTTCTGTTGCAATTCAGTGAAAACAGAAAGACTTGCATTCAGTTACACTGATGAGACTGCAAACCAAACCAGAGTAACCAGAGTAGAATAAGATGTACAAATCTCCACTTTGCTGTCTTGTTTAGCTAAATGTGTTGCTGTTATTTAGACGGCTCAACAAAAAGAGTGATAAGAAAGGGTCTGATTGTGGTAAAATAGAAGTGGGTGTATTCAATTTCAGGGAACATTATCCAGTTATGGTGATTTTTGTGTTTCCTTTCATATATCTCCAGCATATGCTCAAATTCTTGGCCTTATGAAACTACTTTCACGCTCCACAGCACAGTGTTAAAAATGAATGGCCAATCTAAAAATACTTGTGTTCTTCTTCGTTTCTGAAGGGTTGACATTTTCAACCATTCACTCTCAGACATTGAGTGTTTTAAGAGTCATTTTATTTTTCCAGAGGCGGTGGAACTCACTGCCTCACCGATTGAGATTGCTGATAACACAGAGGCTCAGTGTTAATATTTGACCTCTTTCTTTTTCTGAAACACAACACCCACTGACCTCAATGTGTTAAGCAGCTCACACAGAGCCAGGAAGATCAAAACACAGGAGCAAATGCAGGGAGAAACGAATGCACAGATTCTCAACATGCTGCAACAAACACAGGCGTTTTTGTTCCACCGGTAGTTCACATCCTTGACCTTTTCTCTGTGTGGAACTGGAACACAGAAACACACATACAGATGCATACTCACAGCCTTTGTAAATCATGATGAATGTGGTGGTTTGGGATCTCAACGCTCCAATCTTTTCAGGACGCACAAAGGAGGAGTCTACAGTATCTCTATGGTGATTAAACCTGATTGAAAGGCATGTGGGCATAGTTGTGAGTGTGTGAGAGTGTGTATCCTACACACACACACACACACACACACACACACACACACCAAGGGAAGGCTGGGCATGTGCAGTGTTTTCATTCTGCTCGCTGAGCTGGAATGGGGTTGTATTGATTGCCTCCTGCACACATACGCACAAGCAGGCAATGAAGTGTAAAAACGTGGTTTTACAGTGTCCTTTACTATTTTTTGGCCAGGTGCAGTGACTTCCTGAATTCTGCAGGAAGTCACTGCACCTGGCCAAGAAAATTAAAGATTCAAAAAAATGAGCTACTTTTTTAGATTAAAAACCAGGCTAGCTGTTTCCTCCTGTTTCCAGTATTTATGCTAGTGCAGCATGATATGGTAATATCATATTGCGATTATTTTGATAGATATTGCAATTGATATGATCCACGATTAGTGTGAGAGTTATCATTTTTGCATCACAAATTTAATTTTCACTGAAAAACTATTCATGATTTAACTCATGATGATGTAAAAATGTTTGGGGTCTGAGACTTAGATATGTAGACCACTTCAGAAATATAATACTTTGTTATAATGCCGTTTGACATTTTACCTTTCATCCAAAAACTGTAGCTTCTGATCTATCTTTAGTGTGAAACAAAGAGGCAGCTTCATTAGATTTGACAGCAGAAAAGTAGGTTTGATTACTTTAGTGGTAGGACTTTATTTACACTCACCAGTACAGTGTGGTCACTACTGGAGATGCACATTTTGTCATGAGATTTCTAACGCTGTTCTGAAAACTAGTAAAGAAAGAGTAGTTGTACAAAAATCTCTGTTGTGACTTTACAGCTAACAATTAGTGAATTTTGTAATTGGTTCTTTTCTCTTGGTTTGTGTGTAGTCTTCATGTGGCAGCTGCACGCGGTCAGACAGTCTGTCTATCCATCATCCTGGCCCATGGAGCTGACCTGACAATCACTGATGCTGCAGGTATGTACTGTCATCATTGTAAGAGTATAATGTTGTTGTGTTACTTGTTTGATTTGAGGTTTGTTGGTTTTGGTAATTCATACTTTCTGGTGGCACTTTACCTTCTAAGTTGCTTTCTTGTGTTTTTTCAATTTTATCCAATTTGTCACTAAATTCTTTAATTATTATTGATTTATATTCAGGTTTCAATCCGTTACACTTGGCAGCCAAAAACAGTCACATCGAGTGCTGTAAAAAGCTCATTCAGGTAAGAGAAGGAGACTTTTTATAAGGTACAAACTGTGAGTTTTATCTCTAAAATCATATTTAATGCACTGAAAATAATGCTTTTATCTATCAAGCCATGCGTTTTACACACAATATGGTCCTACAGGGATAAGATACTGCAATTGCAAACATTGCAGTATTTTTGGATCAGTAAATGTTTTCAAGATGTGTCGTAGAACAAAAAGTGCAACAAATATGGAAGCAAGAATGTTTTGGTGGCAGAGCATCCAGTCACCCAGCAGGACTTCTTCTTGGACGCATTACTTGGTGAAGCAAATAAGGGATGTGTGAAAGTCGGAGCGTGAACCGTATGAAACCTACACTCGGAATAGTCTCACTTTTCTCCTAAGATGTCTGAAACCAGACAGTTTTACTTCCTTCAGCCTGCTGATTGTGTGTGTATGTGTGTGCAAATCAGCAATTCTCAGCAGGAGGAGACACACACACATACACACACACACACACACACACACACACACACTCACACTCTTCCTTCTCTGATCTGCTGACCTAACTATCCCATGACAGTCTGCAGCATCTCAGCAACACACACCTGCCTGGTCAAACATTCATCCAAGTCTACTGGTACACAAAGCAAGTTTTGCCCTGTGTGTCTCAAACTGATTTGTATTGTCACGTTCTAGCAAACCTTTGTGTCTTCACTAGACATGGAGTTGCACCAAATATTAACAGCTATTAGCAACAAATAGTGTGATGATTCCTAAAATTTGTAGCAGGTCATCACTACTAGCATACTATGGGGAGAAAAGATTAAAAAATGCAGTAATATGTTGTTTGCTGCTAATGTGTGTTTCCAGTGCATTTCCAGTGTTGTCTTTTATCAGATAAACATTTCATCTATATAAAGCAGCAGTGGTAAACAGATTTTGGTGTCAGTTCCTCAAAAAATAAACTCCACTAACATTATTGCTGATGCTCTACAGTAGTCTGAAATGCATTTAGAGAATAATTTGCACACATTTTGGAACATAGTCGGGCACATTATCCGAAAAAACCCCTTCAGGGAAATGTAAGAATTTACTAAATTAACAAGAGCTGCGTCAGGATGATGGAGAGGAGAGACTAAATGTAATCACAGCAAGCAATGAGATGTATTGCATGTCACAGACTACTGACACAAAAAGTGTGCACATTTAACAATGGGACTTTTCTTTCATAATCATTCACAATTCATGTGTAACATTAATTTGCACGTCTAATATGTTTCTGTTTCCCCACCAGAGTAAATGCCCCATCGATGCTGTAGACAGCTCAGGAAGAGCTGCTCTGCATCACGCTGGTAAGTGTCTCAATATTGAGAGTTAATCAAACAGAAGTGCTTTTATTGAAGATTAGTCTGCTTAGACAAGGACGTGGGAAAATATCTTGTGATATGAAGTTTAAGCTCTTCTTTTATTTGGATGAAATCATCTACCATATTTGGAATTAAGCGATTAAAGTTCCCATAATACTCTTGTAGGTTTTCATTCAAACCAAATGCTACACTGTCTCTTGAGTGATGGGATTATTTTTTCATGAGGCTGCCAATTTCTGTCCAAAAATAATATTTTTCAACAACGTCTGCCTGCACTGAATATGGCGACTCTCTTTTGAGCCGCTTTCCGGTTTGTGTTACTATGCTGATGTTAGTTGACACGGCTGTATTGGAAGTTTTATCAATGTTGCACTTTCAAAGTAGAGGCAGTGATGTGTTACTACAGTACAGCTACCATAACCCTGCTTATGTTTTTTAATAAAAAAGACATTCCAGGCATTTGTAACTCATCTTATTTTTTTTTGTTATTAATTTAGTCTTTTGGAAATCAGAGAGGGATACATTTCTTGCTAAATTCAAACCTAGCCCACTCTGCAATCTCTGGACAGTTGTGTGCTTCCTTTCATTGTCTGATTGTTGTTTTATTTCATCCTCAGCGTCCAGTGGGAACATCCAGACCGTCCAACTTCTGTGTGAACTCAAAAGTCCCATCAACCTAAAAGATGCAGTATGTACTTTCATTATTACTTTCACTCTTATTCTCCCAGACTTTTCCCAGATATTTCTTGGCAGGATAGTAAGAGCTTTTGAATCAGAATAAAGACCACAGAAATGCTCCATTCAGTTCTCATTCATATCACTTTCTACTGTGTTAGGTCCAGAGAGGAATGCGTTCAAGGAAGGTTAATCACTGTTTTTGTTCTTTGGATTGTCTTCAAGAATTACCTGTCTGCTGTTCTTGTGTTTGCAACAGGATGCTTTCTGTGTTTATCTGCTGTCAAATATCTTATTTGGCTAATTATAGTTTTGTCTACATCCTTTTATGTGCTTTTCAAGTTTTTTAAGAGAGCAGAGGTAAAATAACTCCAGTTGTCTCTTACAGCTGTAAATCTACAACGTAAAGGATTCTTGTTAACTGGCACTTCCTCTCGTTTGTCCTTCTCTGCTTAAAGAGTGATAAATATTGTAAATTGTGTGTGTATGTGTGAATGTGTGTGAGGTAGAGGGTCAGTGTACTGTGGGAACTCTTCTCTCAAGCCGCAGACATGTGGTCTCCATTGCAGTGACGCACCATGCCTGTGGTTTTCACCCAACTGGGGTCTGTGTGCATGATATTGTTGTGTGTGTGTGTGACAGAAAACAGAAAAAGAGGGCAAGTGAGAGAAGAGAAGAGAATCTGTTGCCCATTTATTTCACTTTTTATTATCATGCCACAGTTGGGTCTGTTAGAGATAAACACACGCACACACTCACTCTCTCACACAGTGGTCTCTTAGCCTACATGTAGAGGTTATGTTATTGTTAATTAAAATTTATTGCTGCTTCATGCTTGTTTAAGCCTGTGAGAAGTTGTATGTTGTGGCTTTTGAAACTGGTTCATGCTACCACTTTGTACCACTGGCTGTAAGGATTTTAGAGCTCAAGTACAGGGTTTCTAAAATTGGAGCAGGACCAACCAGACATAGTAGGAATTTTTTTTGCGACATTTACCGGTACATGTTATCTTCAAATATTTCTTCTGAATCAGTCCAAAAAATTGCTTTTAGAAAACTGTAACCAGCATGGGCAAAATGTAGATTTACCTGTTCTCCACACTTGCATGTTGTTGCTTTTATACATGTGAGATGACCTAGACATAATAATCTGCAAATGTGTGTGTGAGATTTGACCTGCTCTGTCTGCTGTTGGTGGACGTATAGACCACAAAGTCGTCTGGAACATATTGCTGTTTCTGTGCTATGTGGAAGCTGTCAGATTGTTGGCCTCAGGCATGCATCGTGGCTCTATCAAACATCTATACCTAATCTATATTTGAGCATATATATATATATATATATACACACATATATAAAAGAGGAACATCTTACAGCACTTACATGTGTTGAACAAAGAATGTTTATAGAAAATCAAGTAAATGTAAACTTAAATTCTGCTTGGAGACACTGGTACTATGTAGTATAAAAGTTCCTTATGCTTTCAGTTTCAGAGTTACTATATACAGTGTATATATCAGCTCAACTACAGAGCTTTAAATAAACACAGTTTACAGTGTGCTGTGGTTTGGGTAATATATGTATGTTTGTATTGTATTGTGAATCTCAGCCTTAAGACAAAATGACAGTGTGCATGTGTATTCTTTAAGGCTGTATGGTAAAAGTTTAACAGGCATGAGTCAGTTCTAGGCTGGTCCAGGATATCCACATACCAGGAAATAGCTTTGTGAGTGATTTTTCCACCAGTACTGAACTACTAAGTTTAGTTGTATTCAAATGGAGTTTCTAGCAATGGTCCCTCATTTTTGTAGATAGTTTTATTTCCTCAGGCCTATAATAATTTAAATTAAACAATCCGGTCACTCTTTGTTTCATCAGTTCACAACTCATTGACATATACAACATGTGATGAAGGGTCACAAATAGACATAGCAGCATCGCATGCTAAAAAGGTTGAGAACCACTGGTTTATATTCTCCCTCACCCTACTCTTTATTCAGCGGCACATAAAGTGATAGAGCTAGCACACTCATTTGGCAACAACAACCACTTCAATTATTTCTCCTGTCATGTTTCATGAGTAAGAGGTGGTATGAAAGAAATGCCCTTTCTAAATTAGTCTGTCACATGGTGTACTTCACACATAGGCTGTTACTGTATACACACACAGACCTGTATGTGTGGTATCTGTCAGGTCATCATTGCCATCCAACTTTAATACTTAAAAACAACAGTAAATGCTATATATACTTTTATAATACATGGTCAGTTGACGTTGCACAGGAACAACAAGGTGAAGCAATATCACAAACTACATTTCTTTTCTCACAAGTTATAGATTTAAAACCAACTTCATCTCCTCCAATGTGTGTGTTTAGGAGTGTATTAAGCTTTAAACAGGGGCATGCTTGTGTGTGTTTGCCTTGATTGACAGGCCTCTCAAGTTATCACACTTGGCTGTGATGGTTGTTGCTTACTTTGTTCACGTCAGCTCTGCCCAGGCTTTACCTTGTTGCCCAAATTTGGTATTCTAGCGTTAAACTGACAAGACGGCAGCAAGTTGTAAACAATAACAAATGTGGACAAGCATTTATACACCTGTGCTCTCGTATTCACCCACACGGCCACTGAATCTATTACTCTGAGAGGAAAATGGTTTATGTCTTTTAGATTCCAGAGAAGAAATAGTTCAGTAGAAACACAGACTGAGCAGAGCAGACACAGGGCTGTTAAAGTCTTTAGCAGAGCTCAGAGGAACCCACAACATAGTTTTGCTCTCTGTGGCATGTGGAAGCAGCAGTCTTGTAATATAAAACACAAAGCTGTGCTGACACACTTTACTGTTTCTTGACATTCTTAAGCTTTTTTACAGTTGGACCTGACTTTTTTTCCCCCTTTCAACAATATAAATGATCTGTAAAAATGTGTACACATACAGTTTTAATATTGAGTTCCTTATCTCTTCTAATGTCATCTGAAGATGATGCAGCCTTCTGGGCAGCAGCTCCTTCCAGGCTGTACACCGCCCTCCACAACCCCAGCCAATCAGATGTTCATGTTAGATTTAGGTCATAGATGGTTAAGGTTAGGTTAAATGTCATGCTTGGGGTTAGGATCTGTCAGTCCTGTTGAAAAATGTGGGATGTCTACGTTGCATTAAATGCTGCCCTAGTTGCCTGACTCAGGGCAATAACCTATGCTGAGCCAGACTATTCATTTAGAACTGTAAATATATCATTTTGGGGATTTTCCCAAAAGCTTGCTCTAGAAAGTGGAACAACTTTGGCTTTTCTGTTTATCTGCTGGGAAATTCATTTAGGAGACGTTCACTCCTTTTTCACATGGATCTGGGATTTCTCTCACCACACAGACACTCACCATACTTCATGTCTAGGCCCACGTCCTCATGTCACACAAGATAAGTTATGTAGGTGTAGTTATGTTGGTTTGTGGTCCCTGCATAGGTTGGTTTCAGGCATATCTAATGTTTGTAATGTCTGTTTGTCCCAAAGGATGGGCTTACCCCCTTGCTGTTGTCAGCCAAACATGCTCATGCTGAAGTATGCAGCACTTTGCTGGACTGCGGTGCTGAAATCAACACTTCTGACAACAGTGGCAGGTACAAACAGTCAAGACACACAGAAAATTCATAAATTACATACATGTAACAGTAGAGATGATTGATTTAACATTTAAGTTCTTAGATTATGGGGTGAAATATTTCTACTTTTCTGATTTACAGGACAGCCTTAATGCTGGCCAGCGAGTCCAACGCTGTGTCCGTTGTTGAAGTCTTGGTTCAGAGAGGAGCAGATCTGTCAGCTGTAGATTCGCAAGGCCACGATGTCTTACACTATGCCAAGTTGTCGGGAAACACTGAGGTCAAAACTGCCCTAACTGCTGCCCTGAGCAGACAACAGGTCCCAGGTAAGAGTTATGCAAAGACACGCTCAGAGAAAGTAAGGAAGACACTGACACTGACTACACTGTGTGAGCATTGTCACTACAACAAGATCAATGCCAATAAACACACACATAAAATGCATTGCCTCTATGTGGTAGAGTTACATACTGCTCTGGTTTCAACACAAAGTCAACACTGCCATCTGGAGGAGTTCTCCAGTTAGTATTACTTGTTTTCTTTTTTTCCCTGTACATTTGATTAAAACTTGTCTTATGAATCAGATGTTACCTGTTGTAGAAAATGTAAAATATTTAAAGAAAATTATTTATTTGAGTATTTTCAATGTTCTTCCCATCTCATTTGACAGATGCAAAGTCTCCTAGAAGTCCTCAGGTAAGACACCAGCCCTGTTGTTCAATACTTTTCTGTAAAGGTCTGAACAAAAAGGAAACCAAATTTACTAAAAACACAACATAACTATTAATGACGATTAAAGTTTATTAGCAAATTAATGTACTAGTGTGAAGAGCTAAAAATTATGAACAAAAGCCAAATTTACTCTAATTTCTGTTGTGTAGCTGCACCTTATGAACAGTAGTTCACTATCAGCTCTTCTATTGTGTCAATATCAAATTCTTCAGCTTGTAAAAAACCCTTTAGTTGCTATTTTAGGAAAACAAAACTTAAGTCTTACTGTAGCACTCATTGATTGACTCTCCTTTTACTAACCAGCACTGAATCCCACCTTTCTTTTCTTTTTTTAAATCTTTTTTCGTTGCCTCTTCTCTTTTGCTGGCTCCTCAGCATGATCAAGTAGCTAAGCTAAGTGATGAACGGATCACAACTCCCAAAAAACGAAAAGCACCTCCACCTCCTATTAGCCCACTGCAGGTAAATGCATGTCTCTCTGTGTATCTGTCTGCTTGTATCTGTATGCCACTCTTTATATTAATGCACGTCTGCAGTATATTTAAAAAATGAGCAGTCGGACCTGTGTGTGTGGTATTTCTAGATATTATCTGTTATATAATTGTTCTTCACTCAGCAGTTGATCAGAGTCTGACAATGTATTTCATTCATGTTTATTTTATGTACTTTCTTGTATTTCTTGTACTAATCTGCCTTTTTTTCCAGAGTTAAGGATTAAAAACTAGCTAGGGCCGTAATAACCCATTATGTCACTTAATTGAGTTTTACTCCATTAAGAAATTTAGAAAACAAATCCAAAATGGAATCAAACTAAAACTAATCAACTTAATCCTTCTTCAGAGCTCTGGACCCTCTTCTCCCTCAGCTGTTACCTCCACTGGGACCCCTGCATCCAACAAAAGTGAAACTCCCAGAAGATTTAACTACAAGGTAAAACAAAATCAGTGGTTGAAATAACAAATATAGTAACTTTAATAATAATAATAAGAGTGACAGGTATGCAGTACAGATTATATTCCACAAATTGAGGTTCAACAATGTGCCTTCTTCAGAGTCTGATTTGTTGCAGCAGAGACATCCAGATGTACAAAATGATATAAGAAAAAATAAAAACACAAAATATTCAGTAAGGCCCAAACTTGCAGTAAATAAGGAGGCTAACAGGAGCCATAGAAGACAGAACACATACAGCACATTGTGCGGTAGCTTTTACTTACTAAAAGGTCAACAAGAGCAATGAAAATGTGTAAATACAAAATACATTTATAAGTAGGTTAAATCTCAATGTACAGTTAGGAGATAACCAAACAAAAATAAGATAGAAATAATATATAGAAAATGTGTGTATATCGTGACCCTAAAATAAGTGATAAAGATATTAATAATATAAACACATCTGGAAAGCAGCATTAACATCATGGATAAAAACAAGCTATTTTTTGTTATTTTCCATTTCCATGTTCGATGTCTATTGAAAACATGCAAAGGTGTTTCAGGAATTACCTCAAATATGTAGCATTCTTACATTTCAAACCCTGAGGGAGAAATGTTTTATATAATTGACTTATAAGTAGCATTTTAAATACCAATGAACTGAAGTCTTGCCCTCAACCTTTATATCCTTTTTCTTCCTTCTCTCACCTTTTACTCTCTCTTTCTTCTCCTTGTTCCATCCACTGCTCTTCTCCCCTCCCATTACCTTTCCCGCCACTCCTCCCCTTTCTCATTTCAAAGGAGGATGAGGTTAGAGGAACGGCACTGAGAGAGGAGGTCGAGAAGCTCCATGAGGAGAGAAACATGTTGCTGGAGACAATCGAAGACCTGAAGCAGACAGTGGAGCAGACGGTGACTTTCCCTGAAGTGGATACAAAGGTGATTAACGACGCTGTAGTGACATTACATGAGCAGATTTGAAAACAAATGTGGTGTTTATGAAAGTACGCTTGGTCTAGGTAAATGAGGTCAGACTTTTACTTTGGAAAGTAGAGCATTAAAACAGTATAGAGCACAACTGACTCATTCAATATAACTATTGATAACTATTACTTTGTGCTGTTTGTTTTACTGTTTTTTTCTTTTATCTTAAACTTGCTGCTGTCTTGGCCAGGACTCCCTTGTAAAAGAGGTTGTGAATCCCAATGGGAATATTCCTGGTAAAATAAAGGTAAAATAAAATGAAACAAATGGTGTATAAACATATTGTGAATTAATCTTCTATCCAACAACTAATTGGATGAAGAGAAGGGAAAAAACCCAGCATTTTTACATGGTGGCTTTTTTGACTTTTGATTCATTTTTACACTGAGTTTAGTAAATGTTTCCACGGTTGTTAAAATCTTACGTCAACACTACTTTTTAACTTTAATACTATACAGACAACAGACAGCTGTGTACTACTGAACTTTTTCACCTTGGGCATTCTTGAAGGAGGTCTAACTTAAGTTTTAGACATGCTACAACTCGTTTTGTTTTTCAGTAGGTAGCTAGTGGTCCTTAACGTTGCTTTTATGTCTCTGTGTGCCTCTGCATATGAATGTATGTGTGTGTGTATGTGTTGACAGGTCGAGCACAGTTTTCCAGCGTCCGCAGCTCTGGTTTCTGCACTGCAAGCCAAGATTACTGCTCTTACTTTGGAGAACCAGCAACTTGCAGGCAAACTTAAGGTATGTAACCCATAAACCTTAAATGAACATACTTCAGATAAGGGCAGTACATTATATATATGAGCTAAGCGACTGCTGCACATTCTTCATGTGAGAGGCTAAGAACTTACACTACAGTAAAAAAAAAAAAAAAAAGGTACAAAATTCACAGAAGACCTTTTTGAAATTCATCTACATCTAAATTATATAACAGGGCAATTTACAAAGAATGTAGCTGAATAATAACAGCAGCAGCAGCAGAATACAACTAAAATGTTATGGAAAAATAAAATAATATGTGGCACCCTGGTAGCTCACCTGGTGTAGAACATGTACACTATGTACTAAGGCTTAACTCATTCTCCCCTTTCCTTTCTCTCTTTATGTAACCAAAAAAATAACCTAGTAGTACAAGGCCTCAGCTGTCTGGGTATGTTCCAAAGCTGGAATGATTTTAGTACAAAATGTAGTCTTTTATAACTGTGCCTCCCCTGAGGTTCAGCAAACACACTGTCCCCAATTTTTGTAATCACATTTGGGAGATATTTTTTCCAGCCAGTATAGACAGGAAAGCAATTACAGTGACTTAAACTATTTCAATGTACATATTTTCAGTCTTGTTTTAAGGTTGAACTGAAAAAAATAGTGTAATTTATAATCTATAATTATAAAATTAAAATGTGTATGGATACAACTGACAATTATTTATTTATACAATTATTCATTATTGATTCATGAATAATAAAAAAAATAGTCAAAAATCTATTTTCATGGCTTGGTTTATGTGACCAACACTCCAGAACCAAAAATGATTCAGTTTACATACGTTTTTGCTTTTAAAATGACATATCTGAAAAGAAAATATCTGCACCTACTTTTCTGTTCATCAATTCATCGTTGCAGCTCTAGAAATAGTATCAGGGTGCCTGGATAACTCACCTGATAGGGCGGCTATGTACCAAGGCTGAATCTTTGCTGCAGCAGCCCAGGGTCCGAATCTGACCTGTGGCCCTTTGCTNNCCTTTGCTGCATGTCATCTCCTCTCTCTCTGATCGTCAGTGAAAGATATATTCAGATTGCCCTCCCTTTTATTACTGCTGCTGATTGACTGAAAATTTGTCAGCTATTTTGATAACTGATTAATCATCATAATTAATCCAGTCATTTTTAAAGCAGAAATTAGCGACATTATTTGATTCAAGGCTAAAAAGTGAGATTTTGCTTGCTTGGCTCCATGTAATGACAGACTTTGGCCAAAACGCCTCTATGCTCTGTTAGTGATATTTTTATTTTAATGTAATTAACTTTTTTTTACTCTGTGCCCCACAGAAACATCCGTCTCTCCAAGGAAGTGAGGACCTGAAGGAGACCAGTCGGCCAAACAGCATGGCCTCCAACTCCTCCTTCCACTCCACCCAAGATGAGTTTGAATCACTGCCACAAGTCCCCTCCACCACCCAGGTGGAAAGGGAAGATGCTTCAGGTGGTGTTTTTGTGAAACGGGTGGAAGAAGAGACTGAAGGAGGGAGAGGAGGGAGCAAAGAGGAGATCGGACTGTTGAGAATGGCGCTAGAGAACGTTCAGATGAAACTACTAGAAACCAGGAAGGAAAACCGCTCGCTTCAGGCACAGCTGAAACCTGAGCAAGGCAGAGAAAGAGAGGAGTATGAAACCGTGAGGGAGAAAGGAAGAGAGGAAGAGTTGATGGAGAGTCTAGCAGAGCTTCAGGCAAAGCTGACGGACACTCAGGAGAGATACCACCAAGCTGTGGAGGAGGTGGAGGAGCTGAGAACGCAGGTGGGAAGGGGAGGAGGTGAGCTGATGGAGAAACAGGAGGTCCAGAGATGTTTGTCATCCACAGTTGAACATGAAGTGAAACAGCTGAAGGCCCAGCTCGTCCAATCGGGATCTGAGCAAGAGAAAGCTGCTCAACGAATCAGACAGCTGGAGGAGGTGCTGAGGAGGGTAGAGGAGGAAAGACGGAGTGTAATGGAGAAAGAACAGAGGACTGCACAGATTGAGGAGCTGTACAAGGAAGCACAGGAGGAGATTAGGATGCTCCAGGTAGATATGGGCTTCTTCTTCTTCTTCTCTCTAAATTTCTGTGGGACTGAAAGGGTAACCCATCAAAGTCTGTTTCCAGCTCTTGGGGAGTACTACTGCATATGTGAAAACTTGTATAATCTCTAATGTGGTTCTAGAGGCAGCTGTGCAAAATTTCACGTGAGTCTGTGTCAGTTGGAGCTGAAGACTACAAGTTTAAAAATAAAAAAATCTGTTGGTGTGGAGTTAGTTTACCAGACCTCTTTAGGCGCTCCTCATCTCTGCTTGAGGCTAGCAGCCCGAGGCTACATTAGTTGCTACTAGCACTACTAACACACCTGAATCTCAGACGGAACTTTTGGCGAAGAAAAGATGATCTCTGGAGGACTGTGTGTGTACAAGACCACAGATGAAATTGCTTTTACACTGTCATTAAATTATTCTTTAACCATTTTAGTTGACTTACTGTATATCACTTGCCTCTTGAATTCAACAACATACTTACATACATACTTTGTATTATTTTATTTTATTTCATTCAGTCGTCCTTTAATGTATTCCTTCTTGTTGTTTAGGAGGCTCTGAGAGGCACAGTGCCAGTCGAAGCTGCAGCCAAAGACTTTGAAGAAATGAAGGCTGAGCTCAACGAGGTAATTGCTGGGCTGCAGCGCCGCTTGCTGGAACTCTCACACTCCTACAGTGAAACTAAGAATCAGTTGAGTTCTGCACAGAAACATCTGGCCGAGGCCCGAGCTGAGAGCAGTGCAGCCTCATCTCCCTCCTCAGAACAACAACAGCAACAACAACAGGTCCAGGTGCTAAACAGCAAGGTGGAGGAGCTGCAGACGCTGTTAGCTGAGACAGAGAAGAATTACTCTGGAGCTCAAGAGGAGATTTCAAGGCTGAAGCGGGAGGCAGAAGCTCAGGCACAGAGCTCCGTGGCCCTTGCTGACCACACACAGGTGATGTCATCTCTGGGAAATGCCATCAAAGAGCTGGAAAGCCAGTCAGAGGCCCTGAAAGAGCAGTTACACCAGAAAACCATGCAGGTGGAGGCTCTTCAGAACAGGTGAGGAAGAAAACTGATGGATGCTTCTCTTTCTGCTTTTACTAAAGACTGGAGGTTGGGCTTCTGAAATGGTATATGAGGAATTAGAAAAGCAGTGGACGAATGTAACTAAGTGTATTTACATAAATACTGTGTTTATGTACAATTCTAAGGCACTTGTGCTTGAGTATTTTCATTTTATGCTACTTTATACTTATCCACTGCATATACAGAGGATAATACCTGTATAAACCTTGTACTTTTACTCTGTAACTTACAATCGGGTGTGTGATGAGGGCTACAAGGCTATAAATATGAAGGGATACATCTCCTAGATGTCTCTAAAGTTGACCATGTGTCCAATACTATAGTTGTTACCACGTGGTCCCTTTGTCTGTTTCACAAAAAGGCTGACGGCAGAGAAAGATGTCACCCCAGATGATTCAGTCTCCCGTGTGGAGCACGAGACCGCCCGAGAGCAACTGGAGGGCGAGGTGAACCACCTGACGCAGCTCCTCCAGGGAGCCCTCAGGAAGCAAGACGAGATGGCTCTGGAGGCTGCTGATGCATGGCAGAAGGTGAGAAGAAAGAGGAGCAGGGAGGAAGGGGCGGATGAAAAACAACTTTCCAAATGTTGACTATAAATTCCCTTCCCTCGTATAATTTACAACCCTTTATCCGATCATCAGGCGCGGGAGAATCGTGCAGAGCGGGAGGCCCTGCAGGAGCTGGTGATGTCAAGGGAGAAGGAGAACCAGACGCTGACCTCCAGGTTGGCCGAGTCCCAGGATGCTGTGTGTCAGCTCAAACAGCTGGTGGAGAATCACGTTGCCTCAGAGAGAGAGAAAAACAAGAAGGTCAGTATTAATCTCACAGCCACTGCAGAACCACCATCACTATTGTAGTACTTCATTAACCACTTAAAACATATCAACATAAACTTGAGACATGAATTGGTAATCAGGGCCTGATGTATTGTTATGTTGTTTTTTAAACTATGTTGTGTTTGTCCCTCTCAGATAGATGACCTGTCACGGGAGGTGGGGAAGCTAAAGGACGCCTTAAACAGCCTATCACAGCTCTCCTACACCTCAGGTTCTCCCTCCAAGAGACTGCAGCAAAATCAGCAACTGGAGACAATGCAGCAACAAATCAAACAGCTACAGTACCAGCTAGCTGTAAGATTTGTACCATTTTCTCAGACAGAACACACAATCATTTCAATTTTGAAAAACAAGAGAGTGTACGGTACTATCTGAAATATATCATATTCATCTTGTGTTTTCTGTGTAGGAGTCAAAGAAGCAGCATAATGAGATTGTGTCCGTCTACAGGATGCACCTCCTCTATGCTGTCCAGGTAAATACATCCATTATTTTAAAGCCTAAAGCTTGAAAGTTATCTTCAACTGACAGGAGAATATATGAATATTTTATCACTTACTAGTTGTGGTCTCTAGCAATGCAGATATTTTTTATTTGCAAATGTTTTGAAATATCCATATCTAAAATATCTGTCTCCATGATCTGTTCTCTTGTATAATGTTTCAATGCAGTGAGCACCACAAACTATTTTATTCCCCTCCATTGTATTTGAATGGCAGCAGAAACCTCAGACGAATATCTCAAAATGTGGACAAACTGACCTTTTAAATTATACTAATTTTACTTATGCGTAATGATTTTAGTTGGTTAACTGAACCTGTGCTGTGTGCCTTCAGGGTCAGATGGACGAGGACGTTCAGAAAGCCTTGAAGCAGATCCTGATGATGTGCAAGATGCCAAGCCAAACCAAGGAGACCTGCTGAGAGACACTGGGCCTGGTTTCCCAAAAGCATGTTGTGAATAAAACTGAAGCGTTGCCGTCAGCTGCATCCGCCACAGCATGTCCTCCAGTCAGAATTCACATATTGCTCGTACTGCTTACAAGCGAGGAACCGACACACCGTGCCTCTGGATAAACCTTGAGTATTGTTAATGATGAATAGGTTTACAATCATATATTCATTGCCTTTGCTAATGTCACTTTGACCGACTGCGATCTAAAGGTCATCAGTGTTACACTGTTTTTGGGAAACCCCAGCCCGGCATACAGATACTGTACATCAGCCAACTGACCATTCAAACGAGTGTGCGAACCAGGTGGTTATCATCTGTGTACCAGCCAAACCTATAATCTCAATAGATGCACATTAACACTACACGGTCAATGTGCAGTAACTTTAAATCACACGCAGTTGGACACGTGTGATAATACAAACATACATATTATGTGTGCATTAATCAGTCCAATGAAAACAGGTTGATGTGGTTTGTTCCTGTTACAATGTGCGCTTAGAGAAATAAAAGCCTCAGTTAGCGCTGCTGTTAATAGTATCTATTTTATGATACAACAGTGTTTTTACTTGTTAAATGTTTCATGGTTGTCAACATTTTTCTGATACAATCTAAATTATTTGTGCCCTCTTAACAATACATGTGACTTTGCTCGCCAGCCCAAAAATCACATAGAAATGGGGTTGTTTTGTTTTTTCTGGCCGCACTTCTACGAAGAAAATGCATGATACTGTTTGTATTGCTATTTTCCTATTAGCACAAAAATTATAAAAATGTATTTTACTGAACTGTATTATCATGTCATGTTTTCTAAGTTACTGTATGTTAATGAAGAGGTTTGATAGCTGTATTTTTGATGGCCTTGTTTTGTGTCCATTTTGTGTGAATGAGATGCTTTTTCCTCGAGTATAACAAGGCACTATTTGGTCTAGTGACACCTGAATTAGTTTATTTCCCTGTCATTATTCATGTTTTACATATAAGAGGTTGAATATAATTGTTTACTGTCATAAAAAAAAAACGACATTTCATTTCAAATGTCAAACAGTATGGTCTCAATATGTTTGTCTTTTGGACTCAGAGGATAGTTAGGGGGTAAGATTTTTATTTCTTGCATTTCCTTTCCTCTTGTCTCCATTTATGTTCTTACTTGAAAAGCATGCAAAATGTGTTGGCTGAAAGCAAATGGTTGAGTTTTGTAACTAGAGTTCTCTCTGCTGTCACGTGCCTGTAATCAGACTTTCAACTGAGCATGACGGTCAATATCAGTAATACTCTCTATTGTCATAGATGCCAATTTCACCAGGCTTCTTTCTACCATTTTATTAATTTATTTCAGTTACCAGAAAAAGTTTTCTCTTCGCAATGCTCCCATCTCTTTCACTGTGTCTTTGTAGGTACGGATATACACTGTACGGTGTTTGAGAATACATTTCTTCTTCAAAATCTAGAGACTTCTGAACTGTTTTCACATCACACTCCTTTGCCTTAGTACTGTAATTAGAGCCATATGCTGTTAGATATCACCTTTCTTCTGAACAGTGTTAGAGATTATTGTGAGTACACCCAACACTAACCTTGTTTAACTGAAGTCAGATTAAATGAATTTGTATCTGACTGACTGAAGCTTGTTCTCACTCAGGAACTTTTTTACGGAACACTTCCACCTGACTGAGATTTGTTCGACCCTGAGTAGAGCTCTTGCTTTATTTCATAGGTTGTAGAATATCATAAACAACCTCTCTCTCTTTTTTCTCTGTAGGCCTTGACTGAAATGTTTTGTAACAAGAAAGGGAAAAGAAAGAAACAACTTTCCTTCAGGTTGTTTCTTTACTAACAGTTTTGTAGTGACATGAAAAAAATGCTTGTTTGCCAACTGCTTTTTTGCCCACTTTAATAAATTTTCAAGATACTGTACCATCGTGAGTCCATGTTTCATCTCCATCTCTTCTATATCAAAACATATAGACATATACTTTTATTATATTATATATTTTCTAAACAACAACTCAACAGCACTGCCTTCCTTTTCAGGTTCTTGAGACAAAGTTTTTTATCTGTCAGCCTCAATGGCCACAGGAACAACACCAGTTCTCAATTGTGCAACCTAAGATCTTGGGCTTCTAGATAAATAAGATATAACATATTCAGGGATTTATGTCAGATGGAGATCGTTAAAAAGCTGTTTCTATATTAGTGCTAAATGGGCCACGAGGTGTGTCTCATTCAGGAATGTAAAATACTTATTTGGTGAAGAGTTGAACTGAAACTGAACAGGTGATAAATGGCCACTAGATGGCAGCATTTGCCAAATTGAATCTCTCATCTAACCCAGAGGTCCATCCCCACTGACACAATTTACAGATGGGTAACGAATTTAGGAGGGAAGCTGAACAAATAGCATGAAATGAAGCACAAGAAACATAATGGTTTGATGAGTATGACATTTTTTTGGGACTGACTACCGCCATCATGAAAACCACCTAGCTCCACCAAATGAGGGAATAAATTATCAAAAATGTATATTATTCATCCTGTAGAGTTATCAAGACTTGTAGAATTGATGCAAAGGAGCACTGAAGCTGTTCTGGCAGCTTGTGGTGGTCCGACCAACAACTTGTCCTCTTGTACGTATGTATAAACAATATATCAGTACAGTACAGTATATCTGTATTCTATTTCTGTTCATCATCTTCCAGAATCAGACTAAGAAATATACATTTTTTGTTTGAAATACTAGGTAAATAAAAAAAGGCGCATTGTTTATGTTCCTGTTGGTTTAGACACATCATCCTCCATGTCAACACTCAGCGTCCACTCAGCTTTGGCCCTCAGAAGTCCTGCCAGTCCAACTCTGGGTAATTTATCTGCCGTTCTGTTTCCTCTAACCGGTGGCACAACCACTTCGTTTCCTGCCCTGGCCCTGTGTTCTGCCCGCTGGTCAAACACACACATACGCATATGCACGCAAGAAAGCACACACACACCTCTGCCTTTACACGACAACTTCCTGTCAATCTTGCTTTCCCACACGTTCTGCCCTCGGGCCTCGGGGGCTAGTGGAGAGAGATCTAGTGCTGTGATCCTAATCCAGCTAGGGCCCATATTTGTCAAGCAACTCAGGCTGCAGTAAAATCCTCTAACTCTGGAGCCTGTGAATGGCAGGATGAACTCTGTTTGGCTAAACTGAAATATTCAGTTTGATGTTATTTGACAAGGACGTTCAAACATAGTTTTTTCATAGTCACTCCTGTATTTGTGTTGGTTATTTAACTGAGATTAAATTGACCTTTCAGTGGTTTCCTTTAAAGTCTCATTTCTTAAATTGGCTTTAAAGTTAGATAAAAGTTTTGTCTTAAAGTTATGTTCTCTTTTAGCTTGTTAGAATGCACGTAGAACTGAAACAATTAGACAATTAATCGATTACAGATAGAGAGTTAATTGTCAAAAATTTGATAATCAATTGCTCATCTAAATAACTTTTAAGATTACTTATTAGTTATTTAAGGTCACCAGCTTTTCTTTATCTTATATGATTGATGGAAATTGAATATCTCTTGGGTTTGGACAAAAGGAAAAGGAAAATGACAGAAAACCATTTTAGAAATGATTAAAAACAATAGTCTGACATTTTACAAATAGAATGAATAATTAATGTACAAAGAAAATAATCTTTAGATTAATCTCTAATGAAAACAATCATTAGTGGACGCCCTACACTGAAGAAATATTGTCTTAATTTAAATGTTCAAAACCAGATGATTTGTATGGCTGCACCATTACATCAGCCAAGAATTTTAAATATCTTGCATGATGTTTATTATGTTTGCAGATTTAATGATCTAAACTGGAATTTAAAATACAGCCTTTTTTAATAATGGCATTGAGTCAGTGAAGTTTAAAGTTCATAGATTTAGCCCATACAGTGCCGAATGCAAATGATGAGGGGACCCAGAACTGAACCCTGAGGAACCCCACCGCACAGAAATGCAAAAATGAAACAGAAAGACAGCTTATAATATATGAACGCAAAAAAGTAAGTGAATTAATTCTCCCCTTTGAATTCTATTGATAACCAAGGATAGTGGACAATTCTGAGAGAAAAGGAGCTCATAAATGAAAAGTGGAGAACGAGTTTAGACGATGTGAAGAAGTCATAACAGAAGGTCAAAACCCAGGAGAGGAAAACTGCGGCTGAAGGAGCCCATTTGGGGAGGAAATGAGAAGAGGTTGTGGCCAAGAGAAAAAACATGAAGCAAGCAAGAGTAGCAGATCAGGAGAGAGGGACAAGTGTGTATGTTGAATCACTGGAGGGATGACTAATCTGCAACTAAGAGAGTCCTCTGAAGTAGCTTACAAACCTGCATCAGCTGCCAGAACCATGAGGGGAACAGGCTGAGGAGGGGAAGGAGAGCTGATGAGGAGGTTACTTTTCTTAGTTTTTTTGATAACCACTGCTCACTAGCAATTAAGCACCGCATCAATAAAGTGGTGCAGTTTCGGCAGCCAACTCGCCACTTTTGCGTCATTTTTAAAATGTTCTATCTGTGTCTCTGCTAACTATTTGTTTATACTGCGTATTTCCTAGTAATCAAGGCTTGTGTGCTTAGTAAATATTGTTGAATGGTTTCTCACAAATTTGCGTCATAGGCTGTGTGCCTGGTCTCAGGGAGCAACCCTGCGTTATCTTCTCAAGTATTAGTACTTGTATCTTCAAGTAGTGCGTATATGTTGTTATTTCTGATGTTATTTTAAGTATTTCCTATTATTTTTGGCTGCTATTTAAGACATCTGGACTGGAAAATCTTTTGGCTAACTATAGCACATTCACAGAAATATTTATTAACACATATTGTTGTGTCTGTTACAAGTTGTGAGACAGAGCAAACTCGTACCCAGCTGCTCCAACCTACATTCTTCTGCCTGTTGAGAATCTTCAACATATCTGGGTTGCAGCTGAACTCTGCCCTGTGACTCATCGAACTGGTGGTTAGTCATACCCACACTACAATGCAGTATCAAAAAGACTTCACTGCGGTTTGCATTTTCCACCCACCATGGGAAATATACAGATTGGCATCTGTTCATGAAAAGATGCACAAACACAAACATGTGCTGCATGTCTGTGATTTTACAAGGCTGAAAACATTTTTCTCTGGTGGGAAGGCAGATTAATCTGACATTATGTGTAAATTTGCACAGCATGTTATTGTCCGCATTTGCCATATCATGGACTGCGTGGACTATCAACAGACTGATATTTCAGGATGTGTAACATATTCAGATTTAAAAAAAGATGGTGCTGGTTTTCTGAAGAACTGGACTGCACAGACCTCTGACCTGAACCCCATCAAACAGTCAGGCATAATCAGTTCTAAGGAGGGGCTAGGTGGAGCTATAGCTGCTATAGCCCACTGTGGCCCCACAAAGAAATGAAAGAAAGTTGATCTGGTCCAATTGCCATAGTAACCTTATGTGAAAACTTATTTCTATGCACTAGAATCACTTGGACCAATTCATGTTCAAAACACGCAAGATGCGGTTAATTAAAGTAAACTCTTTATTCAGTTTTCAGTTTCAAACAGCCTCTTCCAGAGGAACCAGAAACTTGTGAAAATTAGAAAAAGGAGGCAGGTATAGTCAGCACAGAGGTTGGAGACCACCTGTGATACCGTACGGCTACCCGAGTTCCTCCAATGTTACTCACTCCTGGCAGTGCTGTGAGCTATTGTTGCCCAGCCGACAGACAGAGGATGGTATCCTGCTGCCCAGCCTTTAAAATAGCCTTAAAATAGTCACTTTAACTTACTTTCTACCATTACATAGAATCTTTGTGTGTTGCTATGTTATGTATTGCTGTGTATAGTGTGTGCTGACATATGGCAGTGCCAAAGATGAATTTCCATTTTATGCTAATTTAATGGACAACAAAGTAATCTGAATCTAGTTACCCCTGCAAAAATCTCACAACCAGCAAAGGAGCTTCATTCATAGCTTGTAGAAGCAGGACTCCTGGCTTTGATCACTAAAGATGCAACGTTTTGGAGACATTTCCTGCGCTCCCCATCTTTGTTGTTTGTTGGTAAGTTATTGTTATTCTACGTGTAGTTGACCGCTGTCTATTTCTGCATCTGCCTGTGGTAGATATGATTATTTTTTTGTTTTATTGTTAGTATTTAGTACTTGAAATTGACTTTAAAATGCAATACGTATGCGCCGTGGGCCTCATTTACTTGTGTATTTATCATAAATTCCATAGCACCAGAAAAAAAAAATCCCCACCAATAAAAGAAATCCTTGAATCTCTTAAATATAATTAAACCCTGGCAGTTTATCAAACACTGGGAATATATGATGGTGAATCTCTTGCAACTATCTTTATGGGGCCGTGTAGAACTATCTACACACTACTCTACAAACAGAGCTAGCCTAGGGCTTTTTAGTACACTCATTGTTTCCATAAACAATACTTATGTCTACATTTACAAGGGATTGTTTATTTGTTGATTATCTGTTAAACTGCAATTGAAAATAATTATTTTGTGACATTTAGCTGTGCTAAGTACTTCTCAGCAATGTTGGGGACAATTGGCTTTTGGCATCCAGGCTCCTATAAACAGGGGAAGGGTTGGTATGTCAGTAATCTCTGCCATGATAACTTCTTGCATGGTTACAGTCATGTTGTCATCGGGGAACTTGATGGCAGAAAAACAGAGTGATTGTCACTGATCCGCGGTTCCCTCCTTGGCAGAACACTGAGACCACAGGCGTGTTTACATATGTATTCTGATGGGAGGTCTGATGGTAATGAACGCTGCAGAAGTGGAAGAATGAAACAGAGAAATAAAACAGGTTTGACACATTTCCAGAATAAAATCTTCCTTTCATTCCTGGTCCAACAGTTTTTCAGTAACTGT